GTATCAGCCCAGGCCGTCCTGGCTGAAGCATTCTAAAGCTTTAGTTTTAAGTCGCAACTATATTAGGGTTTCTTGAATTATTATAGTATCTATAGTCAACTTTAACTATTAGTTACTACGCAATTGTGGCACTGTCCTCTGCATTAATCTAGGCAGAGCTTATTTCACTAAATATAGGAGTAATACTATATCTTATAAGAAGACTATTAATTAGATCTAGGCGTTAATGATAATAGTATAATTACTTCCTGGCAGCCCTATTCGACGTCTTAGCTAGTTACACTCATCATCGCTATTTCCCCTAATCTTATATATAAAACAGCACTATATTTATCGAGCTCTGCTGGCCAATATATATACATTATAAATAGATATATGGCGGCTAAGGGGATAGGAAGAGCTGCATGCGAGTCTCTCAAGTGATGCCGACCAATCCATATACATTCCTTATAGTGATATAATGGCTGAGGCGCAAGGAAGAGCTGCTGGCAAGTCACTCAAGTGCTGCCGGCCAATCCATATACATTGTTGGTGATTATATGACGCCGAGGCACGAGACAGAGCTGCCGACGAGTCTCGCGAGCGGTACTGCTAGCCAATCTATATGCATTATTGGTGGTGATATGGCGGCCAAGGGGCAAAGAAGAGCTGCCTGCGAGTCTCTCGAGCGTTACCGGTCAGTCCATCTGCATTCCCCATGGTGATACAACGTACAGGCATTCACCTAGGATTATAACAGGCGCCGAGGCGGACGGCACCAACAGGACTGACTCTCGCCTTTAGAAGATATAAACTCCCTCAAGAACCCCCAAACCTTAGGAGGCCCTCAGGCTTCATCCTCTGTGCATCTCTACCCATTTCAAATATGTCCTTTTTTCCAGACCGGCCTCTTCTCTTCTATGGTTCGGGAGAAGATCCGATTATCTTGGATAATCAGGATGACTCTACTGGCGACGAAGACTTTAAAGTGATTAATATCTATATTGATCACGCCCCTCCAGCCAGCAATGAACAGCCTGGGGATTCGTGGGGAAATCGATATGCCTTGACTTGGCTGGACACGAAGAAGACGAGTTATCTGGATCAAGTGAAGGTAAGTCTATGTCATGTAGGATCACGTGTCCCTAGGCCGGGTCCTTACAATGCTACCAAAATGTTTATATATATAGTTTCATTGATCTTCATTTTCTTCTTATTTGACTCTAATTACTGTTGAGCACAGAGAGATAATGTATGAATTATGCTGAGGAAAAGAAGAAGAATGCCTTCGTAGCCAAATTTATTCGGAAGCATGGTCTATCCAATGCTTAGCGAGGAAGGAGCTTTATATAGCCCTGAAAAACCTACATTGCATGGCTGTAAGATCTCCCAAGTCGTTTGTATGCGGTCATATCATATATATTGGCCGGATACCCAATATGCCTGCAGCATCTGCGACCAAAGTACTGGTTGTTACAACCCTGGGATCTCGTGCCGTCAACTTACCCTATCGAACGAGGTGAAGGCGTCCCTGACGTCTTCCTTCCTAGTCTTTTAGTAACCACTGGGCTCGGGTATACTTCACCTAGGCGGACCACAGCCACGTGCTGTATTCGGTCCCTTTGGTACTGAGTGGGTGCGAGTAAGAGAGTGAGAAGCAAGGCCCTTATTCCTACGTATAGGAATAAGTTATAGAGTGGAATGAATCGAAATGGTACTCGAGTAATTGATAGTTATATATAAGAATCATGAATAACTAAATACACTGGTAAATGAGCGTCCTTATAAAGTTCCTCCATCACAGCGCCTGCTATGATATCAAACACGTGACCACTGAGTCAGCCTTGTTCCTTCCAATTCCTCGGACCGGAAGTTGTCTGCCAACCATTCTGCCTGGTGAGACCGCTAATGCGACAAGGGTCATAACACTGGTAGATTGCAGATGAGATGCATGGGTTTTGGTCGAGGATAAAGCATTTCCTTTTACACTTTTTAGAAACTAGATAGCAAGAGATAAACATATGACCTACCAACTCTTCCTGGGATGCAGGCCAGAAACCCAGAAAAAGTGCCTGACTTTAGAGAAAGTACGTAGTGGCCCGAGGGGTTTAGTAACAACATGGTTAATAATCCAGTATTAATAATAATAGTAAGCATATAGATATATAATATATTATAAATAGTATTTAAGCTAGTATTATAATTTATAAACTAGTTTTAAGGTTGTGGTATGGTTATAAAATAGTTATAATAGTTATAATATAGTTATAGTAAGGTTATAAAATAGTTATAAAAGATAATTAATAATAAAAAATTAATATAAATATTAATATTGTTCACTACCACAATTAATACAAGAAAATTATTAGTTATTAAGAGAGTTTTAAATAATTATATATCTATTATATATCTATTATATATTTATTATTAATAGTAGTAAA